AGGGAAAGAAACTGTTCAAATATACATTGGGCCAAAAGGGATGGAAACATATCATGATCATCATGCATAATTTTCTTCTTGATTAAGGAATCTTGTCCTGTTAGTGCAAGTTGTGCACATTAGACTAATAATTACTATTTTCTTTGTATGTTGTTTTTTTGGATAATCATGGAAAGAATATTAAAAAGGTCATAAAGCTAGTAGCCGAAATAATATACAAAGATGGAACTAAACAGGAAAAAAAAAGACTTGGTGAAACAAAAGAAGAGAATACAGAAAAAAGATAAAGAAATAGTGCTGGTCTATTACAATAGAAACAGAGAGGTCATAAAAGAAAAAACAAAATTGAAAATAGCTACCTAAAATTTTTTATTACACCTCAGCAACAAATCTTAGAGGTTATTTTTTATACAAGTAAAGCTTGAATCGAGACCATGTAGTTAAATAGCAATTTAATAAAATATAATGAAAAAATAATTAAATAAATTTATAGTTTTTTTTTAAAAAAATATTATTTCTTAGCAACCAAATATTCCAAGTAATATTATCCATCCAAGTTAACTTTTCAAACTATAAACTTCGTATGTTATCATTGTCAACATGTAAGTAAAGCATTAATATGTCTACATTTTCATCCTAGATTCATTTTGTGTGTAATTATTGATTAAGAAATTAACCATATAACAATAATATTAGATTGAGATCTTATAATGTTCCTTCCTATTACTATGTTCAGTAATATTTTTTAAATTTAAAATGATTATGTTAAAATGATAACATATTAACTTCTAATTATTTTTCTCTCTCTTGCCTAATTTAAATTTAATGTGAAGATTTGAAACATGATGGACCATTTTTAACAAGAGATCATGATCCAAATACCACAATAGTCATAAGCTTTAAAATGAATAAACTAGGTAAAAACATCAACACTCACTTATTTTGAAATAAATAGGTTGATGAACAAGCGACAACACAAGCTTTTGCATTGAGGTTTTTTATTAGCATGCATGTATTTAGATAATATTTTTTTAGTTTTTTTATTTATTTTTAATACTATTGCATCAAAATCATCAAAAACACTTATAAAAATATTAATTTAATTTTTTCAAATAAATTTAAAAATTAGTTTGAAGTACAAAAATAATCACAGTAGATCATGTGGAAAAAGCAGTGTTTATCCTCTCTTAAAACCCATGGCAGGATCATAGTGAATGTGCAGCTCCAGAACTAGAAATTTCAATGACGTGGTGGGGGCACTGATCCCACCACACACTGATAATTTGCTTTGTTGTGTTCGTCTCTCTCTCTCTCTTCCATGCACGAGCCACGACCCTCTTTTTGAGCACTACAATCACTGAAGACAGTGCACAGCATCACAAATTTAAAGAAAGCTTATAGTCGAAGAAACTTCCTCCATTAGCTCAAACCCTAAAAGTATATAAAAAAAAACAAAAAACAAAAAGAGATGGAATGAGAGAATAAAGTAGAAAAAATAAATGATAAGCAAAAGCCTCCTCTATCTTTCCTTCAAACCTTGCCTTTATTTGTCTTCTCTTTTCCTTTCTTTGTTCTGGTATTCTCTTAGTGTGTGATTCTTCACCTCATTTTCTTTCTTAAAGACCTATCAAACTTTATTAAAGAAGAAGATCAAAAACCATGGTGTTCTCTTCAGTTCCAGTCTATTTAGATCCTCCCAGCTGGCAGCAGGTAATGTTTTCTTCAATTTCCATCCACATAGCTAGCTTCTTTAACCCCCCCACCCATACCCCAAAAGAAAAAGAACCATATCAAAAAGAAAATTATTCCTATCCCTTTGTGATCTTTTATTGAATATACCAGATGTAGATTTTTTTCCTTTGATATTGTTAGCAACCCCTAAAATTTTTAATCTTGCAGCAGCAGCAACCAAGCCAGCAACTAGGAGCATGCGATGAAAGTTCACAGCTTCCGCCTCTTCCTCCGCCACCTCATGTTGGTGGTAGTGGCACTGCTGGCTCAATTAGACCTGGTTCGATGTCTGATCGAGCTCGGTTGGCCAAGATACCTCAGCCAGAGGCAGCTCTAAAGTGCCCAAGGTGTGAATCTACAAACACCAAATTTTGTTACTTCAACAACTATAGCCTCTCTCAGCCCCGCCACTTTTGCAAAACCTGTCGGCGATACTGGACTAGAGGTGGTGCCCTTAGAAGTGTTCCTGTGGGAGGAGGATGCCGCAGAAACAAGAAAACCAAAAGCCAAAGTAGCTCCAAGTCCCCAGTTTCCAGTGAAAGGCAAATGGGTTCAACTTCCAGTACTTCCTCAAGTGCACTTCCATCGCAGATTGTTGGTCATTTTCCTCAGCAACAAACTCAATTTCCCTTCGTGACCTCTTTACATAATCTGAATCAATTTGGTGTGGGAAACATTGGATTAAACTTTGGTGGAATTCAGGGACAAATGGGATCAACAAGTGGTGCTAGTGGACAGGCTGGCATGGAATTTCAAATGGGAAGCGG